CTTCTGTATGCTATATCCCTCATGATTTCTTCCTGACCGAAGTAAAAGTTTTCTTTGTCTTCCAAGCTTTTAGTCTACTGCTTCTCCGCGGATATCGGTATTTTACACCAGCGCTGTCTTGGAAGAAAAAGAAAACTGTTTTCGGTGGAATGATTTTCAGGCCCAGTTTCTTTACTACGCTTTTGTTAAGCTCTTACGCTGTTATCTTATTTCACAAACACTGCTCGCAACTGATGAACAGATTACCATTTTTATTCCAGCTTACAAACTATCGTCGTGAGACAGCCGTAAAAAACTTGGGCTGTATGTGTCGCGAAAACAACTTTCCCCTTCTGCGCTTCCTTTGTTCAGCGAGGTCACTCTGCCCTAGATGAGTGGGGGAATGGGATGGAGATGGAGGAAGTGAACTGATGAGGGTGGGAGTTGTTGTTTTTCGAAGAAGTGGAAGAGGGTTGTTTTGGAGTTTGGGCCGTTGGTTTTTTTTTTTTTTTTTTTAAGAAATAAGTGTCTTTTTGTGGTTCTCTATTGAAGTAGTGATATTTGCTAACTGAAAAGATATTTCTACCTGAATAAAAAAAAACCGCGTGGCAGAGATGAACCCGCATTTCTGACGGGAAAGCAAAAATACGAAAGCCACCGAAAGGAAAGAAGTAATTTTTAATTTTAATCAATCAATTCCTTCTTTTTTCTCGTCAGTATGGGATTAGTGTATGCTGATTGTGGTAGTCGTTTGTGTCTGATTTTAGAACATGGATTACATACTCTCAGTTTTGGAGCTTGAAAAGGTTACGGTTGTCGATACGAGTGAAGCAAATGTTCCACCAAATATTGTGGAAATGACTTGTCCTGGGAAACCGATCATAATGTATCAAGAACAAAAAAAGGTAAACTTTTTATTACAGTCGTTGTGATAAAGTACCTCTTGGGCGATCGTTGAAGAAATGGCATTTAGCACAGATAAATCCAGTTCAGTATAGAAGTGTCTGACACAGCTATGCATAAAGTGTGTTTATATTTTAGTACCATTGGAGTATCGTGCTGTCAGTTTAAACATTTCTGTTGGTGGCATTTGTCCTTTTTTTGCTTTCAGACCATAACATTCAGTTTTTTGTTCGGAAATAATGGGGGGG